AAATATCTTCACAATGGGATTTAGTTTCTAAAATTCAAAAATAATTAACATGCTCTTTCAGTTATTCACTTCACGAGGATCAGTACTTATACGGCAGCTAACAAAAATGTTACAAGGAAGGGCTAGGGATTTAGCTCAGTGGTTCCATCGCCTGCCTCCCAAGAGTGAAGACCCAAAAAAAGTTACAAGGAAGACAAGTATCTCCAAAATATACCCAAGTTGCACAAATTGTCATGCAGTTGCCCCCAAATATTATTAAATATGATAGATGCACAGGTATTTTAGTATAGCACAGAGAAAAATAGAGACAGGGAAAAGACCAGCTTATTTGCAGCAAATACAAAGAAGAAAATAATGTCTTACACTGACGTTAAGAGATGTAGGTGTCATATTCATAGTACAATTTCCCTTGTGGCATAATTATCAATCTGGGACCATACAAATGTGATCCTCTGCGTGCACAATCACACACATACACACACACACTGACACAGACACAAACACAAATATTCAAATTTTTATAGCTTCTTCTCGCCACCCTTATGCTAAAGCAAAGGAACATGTTCATACAAAACTAGTTTGTCATTTATTAACATATCATCCCAGATTCCCATCACCTATCTAAGTAGCCATTCCCACACACCACAAGTAAAACCAACAAATGCAAGTGTCTTCTCAGGAAAATCGAGAGAACTACTAGGGCCATCGTATGTGAAAAGTCTCAGGAACAGGGTATCAGTTATTTCTATGGGTAATTTTCCTTTAAAAAAACCAAGAGCCATGGGTCATTTTATTTTTATTTTTTGTTTGCTTGTTTTTATTTTATTTTATTTTTATTTTTTGGTACCGGGGATTGAAATCGGGCCAAAGCAAAGCAGGCCACCAAACTGCTGAGCTAAATCCCCAGCACTATGGGTCATTTTAAACAAGGAGTTATTTCTTACATCTTGCTAATGGTAGTCATTTCACTAATATGATGAAAACAATACATCATTGCTACAGACATGTGAGTGTCCACCATACGCACAGTTTCTTAGAAAATCCAGGATATTTATAGGTCACATGAAGCTGTTCAAGGGCTAAAAAATTCCAAATAAGAACTCTTGTTCTAATAAGTTTCAAGAGAATAAAACTGTCTAATAAGTTTCAAGAGAATAAAACTGAGAAGCGGTGTCACCAGGTTTGGCTTTGAATACTTATTCTAAGAGGAATATTAAAACGCAAAGTTTCATTGAGAGATAACAACTCAGTGCAGAATTACTCAAGTCTTCAAATTTACTGGCATATTTGATGGGTATATATATTTTTATATATGTTACATATTTATATATATATTATATTTATGTTTTATATTATATTTATATATTTATATTATATTTATATATTTAAAAAAAATATATATACATTTGCACAATATCTGATTCCTCTTAAAATCACTTTTGACTCTTTTGACTGAGTAATGAAAGAATGCTTTAGACCAGCAAGCAGTAAAATATTTCTCAAATAACTTGTTATCATGTCCTGGGCTTTGAGAAAAACACACCTTACAGTTAATTTCAAGATCCACAGAAACACAAGCCATATATATGTATTTCTGAAAAAAAATCCCCTCAAGAGTTATTTTGTGTGTTTGTGCATGTGCGTGTGCACACTTAACTTTTAACCACTCTCCCTTTATTTTGTCAGAAGTTTTTGCTCTTTGGTGTTCATGTAGGTTCTTGTAATGTGCCACATAGAACTCAGGATAAAACACAAAACATTTTAAAGCATTTCACCCAGTGATTAGATTTGCATGTATTCACATTGTGATTATCCCAAATGTAATTAGCTTTTTCTGTTTACCAATTATCTGGGAAGATTTGCCAAATGCATTCTGACAGTGTTCTGACAAGAGCTAACAGAAGTTACAAATTATCCACAAAAAAGTTCATTTATACTATAGTGTAAGTCTACGCTACATGAAGAATGAACGCTATTTATTCATGTGGTAGCAGAAATACTCTAAGGGCTTTCTGTCACAAAGAATTAGATCATTATTTGTTGGAATGAACAAGTCATTAGGATGTGTGATAAACAAATCTCAACCAAAACGCTTTATTTTTTTATTTTATCTCCATAATTTAAAAGTTACAGAGATGAACAATTACTCTGACAATTTAAGGTTATTGTTATCAATACAAAGTGAACAATGAGCTAATCAGCTCTTGAAAATTCATATTAATAGTGAAAAAGCAAACCTGGTATTTCAGAAAATGTGAATATTGAACTTTAAAGGGTGATATGAGGGTGTATAGCATTTAATGAAGTAATTAATCCAGGTGGTAAAATTCTGGCCATTCCATCATTTCCTGTTAAACACTGAAAATGCCGATAAACAATCAGATTATAAGTAAGAAAATCTTACTGCTAAGTTGGCTAGTTATTTTTATTTTTGAGTGAAAAATGACTGTTTACATTTAGAATACATTTTCTACTGTATGATACCATTACAGTGAAAGATGATAAGAAAAGTAATGGTGAATGGCAGTAAAATTATTAAAATGTTCAAACTTGATAGTAATGAGCAAAGTACAAGTACATTCAACAATAAAGCGCCCTTTGTATAACCAAGATTGGAAAAGATGAATATACATGACTATATAATAAATTAGCATAACCTACTTTGCAAACATTGGCCTGTCTTTAGCATGGGATTTGAGACAACCCAGCAGAAATATAAAGTACAGACTAGCAACACAGTCATGTAAATTTAAATACATTTGAAAACACACAAACTAATAAAAAAGCCAGTAAAAGATAAGGCAGGAATACATTATCAGCCAATAGAGAAACTAGTTTATATAGACAATATTTCTATAGATGTACAAATATAAATATCACTTGTCTCTAGTGTCACATTTTATTACAAAGAATGGATGAAAAGTGATTTATACGATCACAGAAAGAGGTTAATATCCAAGTTTAATATGGAAAAGACACTTGTGATAGTTAACTGATTGTGGAATTTAAGTAAGAAATGCCTAAATAAATTGGATCAACATAATTCTATGTGTGGCTGAAGGGATTTACTGCAGACGACTCACCCCCACTCACAGATATGGGGTGTGAGTGGCACTAGCCAATAGGCTTGTGCCCTGAATAGAATAAAAGGGAAGGGAGGAAGGAAGACTCCCTTCTCTTTCTTTGGAGGTGTTCCAGTTTCTACCTTCTTTACCCTGGACAGTGTCTCCTGGCTTCCAGTGAAGACTCTTCAGCCTTTCCGTACAGACCTCTCAGCCTTCCAGTGCAAAGCCTTTGTATGAACTCACACGGGACACTACAGTGAGCTCCAGGCCTTTGACCTTTGACTGGACCCTCTGGATCTCCAGTGCACCGACAGCCCTTTTGCACGCTTCCAATCCTGACTCTGAGCAGCCATTATCAGCCTATGTCATAAACTCTTATATATTTATATATCTTATATTAAATGTTTCTCTACTGAGCCCTGACTGATACAACACTCATTGAAGAAGATGAAAAATCTCAAAGTCTCCAAGACCAAGTTATACACGGAGACAATTTGAGTGCACCCAGCCAAGGGATGGGCCTTTTGGTAAAAGTTCTGTACCTTATGCGGGACCTTTAAAACAATAACCCAGAAGAATAATTAAACTTGGAAGAGAAACGACCTCACAGGCACTGAAGTATAAATTCAAAATAATCATGTGATTAGGGTAATCAGGATTTATGGTACTTTAGACACCTACAAGAAGTTAACATAAATCATTTATGGAAGAATCACAAGCAACTAATTTTTACATTTTTCTCTCAAGGATGACACTGTAGTGGAGAGTTGAGGATGTTCCAGTGTTCTTTAGAACCATCCACAGAGGAACTAAAGTACCACAGCTACAAAATTCAGCTGTTAGTACCACAGTGTATGGTGTCTTATAGAACAAAATAGGATAGGCTTTTCATTCCTCGGGAAAAGGGCCCTATAGAAATCCATAAGAGACCATTAGTGTGGGTTGAGGAAGAGTCTGTAGTATAGAAGAACTGGCTCAGTGCAGTGTGAGAAACCTACTTGTGTGAGTGTATTATACTTGGAAGAGATAACTGGATTCATTTTCTACATAACTTACATCTCTCTAATGATAATGCGCAGCTGGGAAACTTGGATCTAACGGCCGAGTACATTTTCAAGCAGCCAATTCAGAAGGAGCTACTAAGAAAGACTCAGTTGATGTCCCATGGACATATATCCACTCTGAAATATTGTCCCTAGCAAGTCAAGAGCTGTTTTCTAAAGTTAATTTCATAGCTACTTCCCAAAGAGTGCACTACAGACCTTCACACCCCCGGTTAGGCTCTCTTGCCTTGGTTCAGTATCAGTTGATGTTGAGACTTGGAGCCATATTGAATGTTTAGGATCTGAAATGACCCAAAAGGTCTCAGGTTGGGAGGTGGGACACTAGAGATGTGACAAGGTGTATTCTTTTCCTGGGATTCTCCATTTTATCCCCTCTTTCTGGTCTCCACCCATTGAACAGCTCTTCTCTGCCATGCTATCGCTGCCTTGAAGCCAGCCTATTTTGGGCTGACTCATAAAGTAAACCTCTCCTCTTCTAAGCTGCTAATGTAGTGCAGTTTATAGTTGTGACAAGAAAGCTAGCACAAAAACCCATGTGCTGAGTGGAAGAGATATTCTGGATAAGGTGAAGCACCCTTCTGGGATGAGCTGCAAGAAGAGCAGGATCCTCAGGGGTAGCTCGGGAAATGCACTGATAGGTTCCCTTCCAATGTGTTACTGGTGCCTCAAAGTGATTGAGGAAAACCCTTTCTCAGTGTTTTGGGACACAGGGCTGGATAAATCTTCCCCTTCCTTCAGAAAGGAAAGGCCTGGCATGTGCCCATCCTTTTGCCCTTCAGAAATTTCTCTGAGGTGGTGAGATTACTGTTCGTCTTGTCTCAACCTCAGGATGCCTGCTCCTTACCGACTCAAATAGAAAACTTACCATTTCTTTTGCATCGAGTTGTGAAACTGTGTTATCACGTAGAGGATATCATTTTGATCAGTTCAATGTTCAAAATATTTTCAATCTGAATTGCAATATGTCATTTGGTTTATCTCAGGCTGTTACACAGTTCGTCCACTGCCCAAAAGCACTGATCTGAAACAGGAAGAGAAAGTGGAGATCCAGTCTGTACTCGGCTCTCTGTGCTCTGTGCCCTGGCATTGTGCTGCCATGGACCAGAGAAAGGCATTATGGAAATATTTCCAGTTCTGCCCAAGGATCAAATATTTCTAATTTGTATATTGAAGCATCTTATGTAAAACACCAGTTACAACTTGTGTTTTATTATTGTGTTTTAGGGTAAACGTCAACCTCTTAGGCCTGAAATGGAGCAAAAGTATTTGTGAGATCAAAAAGGGTAGGAAGGACTGCTTTGGATGCAAAGGACAACTGAAAAAGGAAACAAAACCATATGCTGGGGGAATCATAGATAGGAGGATCAACATGAAAACTTTAAAGAATCAAGGATGTTGATTCTCACCACATTCAATACTCTATCTTGGCTAACACAAAAGACAAATGGGCCTTGGAGGAGCAAGAGTGGCCTATCCTGAGTTGAATCCCATTATTATTCCAAAGCTGCTGTCCTTCCAGATGTCATCTGATGATCCAAAGAGGTCAAATTGGTTCATCTCATAAGTACAAATAATATTTTTTCAAATCCTTTAAACTTTTCTAACTACAAATTTAATTCAGCATATATGAAGAAAACAAACACTATGAAAATTTCAAAAATGAGTAAATAAATTTCTCCCATAACTGAATCATCCTGCTATGGATAATCTTTATAAAAAGTTGGGATAAGTTCTTTATTCTTCTAAACATAAATTCTTTTTTTTTTTTTTTTTACCAGGGATCGAACTCGGGCCCTTGTGCTTGCAAGGCAGGCAGCGAAACCACTGAGCTAAATCCCTGGCCTTACCATAAATTCTCAATTAGTATTTTATATTAATAGGATTATATATGTACTGTTCTTTGTCTGATTTCTTAATTCCGACTGGTCATTATGCATAGATGTCTCTTTATTAAGAGATACAGGCCGAGGATTTAGCTCAGTGGTTCTACCATCTGCCTCACGGAAAGGTCCTGAGTTCAATTCCCAATACCCCCCCAAAAGAAGACTCTTTACACAGAAATTTAATTTTTATCTTATTAACACAAATGCTGTGCATTTAATTTATCTAAATATTAGTATTAGTAGGTTATTATAATTAATATGATTGTCTATAAGAGGACCTTACTTTTATTAATATTTCTATAGAATGTTAAAAATGGAAACCATAATTAAAAAAAGAATGAAGAGTTGAGAGACAGAACATCAAAAAGTACTGAGATTTTCCAGTAAAAGGTAAGCAGATTCATCAGCCACATGTCAGAAAGAAGGGCTGTATTCAGGGCGTGAAGAGACTGGAGACTGCTAATGTTGCATGACACTAATCTGTAGGATTTTTTCAAATTATAATGCTATTTTATTTCTTTTAATTCAAAACCCTTACACAGCTTCTGCATGTTCCATAGATGACCATAAAATGCATTTGTCATTACTAGGAAAAATGTGAAAACTGAGAGTAAAGCTAATACCACCACAGCCTCACTGGCCTTCTCATGTCCACTGATCTCAGTGCCATGTAGAGTTATTAAAAACAGCTACTTTAAAAGAAGGATTGCATGCCATAGATCCAAGTGTCTGACTGACCTGAAGGGAGAAACACACAGAGCTTCAAGTTTGAAGTTAGGATACTGGTAAAATGGACCCAAGTGGCAAATAAATGCTTGGATATTTTTTCTAACATTCTCAAGTCAACCTGCATTAGTAGTTCATTCAACCACGATGGCAAGATTTACTGATTCATTGTGCCAGTCTTCTAAAACAACCATCCAACACTGAAATCGTTTATAAAGTCAAATGATCGGATATACATTTTGTTTTTGTTTAATAGAGGGTACTTCTAATAGTTCTTGCTTTCCCATTTGTTCAAAAAATGTGCACAGACTAAGCTAGTGATTGGAAAAGTAACACCTCTGATTTTATGAAACTTTCAGCATAGTAAGACAAAAAGGCAAACAGTTAAAATATGTTATTATCATAGAAATCAGGGTGTCACTGTATGAAAAAACAAGTTAGAACAATTTATTTTTTGAAAGAAAGCAAGAATCATTGATAGAACTGATTGTAGTTCAGAACTACTGGGTGGTAGGATCTGAGAAGAATACTGTTGAATGGGAGAGGAGTAATGTAGAGTGAAAAAGGATAGAGAATATAACTTAACTCCACACGATTTCTTCACCAAAAATATATATACATCCAAATTTGTATTTGTAGAAACTAAAGGATTTATATAAACTTGAAATTAGCAAAGAATTTCTCAATATATTCCAGGTATGTGTTTTACTTTTAATGCTCGTGTTCAGAGAAGAATCTCTTTGCTATTTTCAAAGAATATATTGCATAAACTGCCAAACTAGGTGTGATTCCTTGCCATTTACAAAATAATTGTAAAGCTGCCGATAAACATAAGAAGCCTAAAGATACAGATGATCCATGTGTTCAGTTTATAGGCTTTGTATATGTCCCATGAGAGGAGAACAAAAAACTTGTAGATTTAAAATATTCAGAGATAGTGAAGGCTTGGGTATTATATAATTAAGAACAGTGTATATGAAGCTTGCTAACATATTATGCAATAATTATAATCTGCTTCACTACCTCATTTCCCACCACATCACAATTTCATTTAGAACACCATTTAATCACATTTATCTATCTACTGTTAAACTGGGCATGGCACTGTCAGCCTTGTTGCATCTTGTAGCTGGTTTGCAGTTTGCTCCTGGAGTTTGGAAATTGCAAAACAGGTTGAAAGCAATCTTTTCTATGAATTAATGAGGCACTCAGATCATCTGTACTCCTCATCTCCATAGAACAGCTGCAAAGAGTGGCTAAGAGATAATTGTTTTAAATTTTGTTGTGTATTACAGCCAAATAATGTTGCGTGCACAGCCACATAAAAGGCTAAAAAAGATGTTAAAAAGCCTAACACACAGCAAATTTAAAAAGTAAACTCTTGGATATGTGCATTCAAAGTACCAAGATTGCTTTCACTAGATTTTTATATAAAAGCAACAGTTTTCCTATAATTAAGAAAATAAACATACGCATTCAACATATGTACACAGTTTACCAAAAATTTATCGACTGCTCATTGTTTTAAAACAATTTTCCAGCACTAAGGATTCAAAATAAACAATCTATTGAAATTAACATTTCGTCTGTGCAGACCACATTCTAATTATTTTTCATCTATTTTTAGAGGATCTATGTATTTATTGTTTACTATTTCACAGGCTCATATTTTCATAGGTACATATTTTATAGACTCTACGTTGTTGACCAAAGTGTACTAAACACTTAGTAGGTTCTGAAAAATTTCTGTGAAGAAAGGAAGAAAAGAAAGGATAGTTTGTAAGGGAAAAAAGCAAAAAAGGTAGTATTGGTTTAATGGGATGTGGTTTTTCAGGTATTTCCCATATCCCAGAGAATGCACAGGACCTCATGTACCCTGGCCTGGGAAAAACAAAGAATATTTTCCTGGAGAGATGAACTTTTGAGAATTTACATCTATGAAAATATACTCTTTTTGTCCTTGTATTGAATAAATAGGCTAAATATAACATTTTAGGTTGGAAATAAAATTTACTCATATTTTTAAATCTTTTATTCTATTTTTTCAAATACCTAAATTGTTAAGAAGTTCAGTATCATTCTGCAATATTGACATATCTATGAGATACATACTATTTTTATAACATTTTACATAAATATTTAGATCTTTTCTGCTAGAAAATTTCTGGATAAGCACACTTACGGGATGTTCTATTTTCTTCTGTTCTTCTGGGCACTTAACAGATTTTTTTCAACCTACAGATTCATATACTTTTAATTCTAGAAAAGAGTCTTAAATTATTTTTTAATAATTCACATTTCATGAGATGTTAGCAGCATATAAGCTGGAGTCAGAATGCCCGATGGACCCAAATCCTGTTCTTCCTACCTACTTGTCTAAGGGCCAATTGACTTCAGCTCTTTTAAAATTTCTCACCTGCCAAATGTAGACAATAAAGATTTCAGAATTGAATGCATTATTTTTTACAAAACATTTGCAATAGTGACTGGCATTCAGGTATTGCTATGCTGCAGTTTGTTATGAATGTTACAGTTTTTCACCAGGATTCCCACATTTTTATATATGTAATCTTCTTTGTTTTCCATGTTTGTTTCTTTTAGCTGTATTTTCCAAGAGGTTTCCTTAACTAGGTGTTCTAGCTATTTTATGGAGCCTCTTATTTGTGCTACCATATATATCTTCAATTTTGAGCTCTTTTCCTTTTCTACATGGCTCTCTTGGTGGAATTCTGCATGTGTGGTACAGATGAAAAGTCTTCTCTTTGCACTCCAGCTGCTTTATGTTTTAATGGGAGATAATTCTGTTATGTTTGTATGCTCTTTAAAGTACTGCCAGCTCATCAGCAAAACAGCTGTCAGCTACAAACATTTTGATCTCTCACATCCCCCAAATCACTACTTACAATGCTTTCAGCTCCTTTTTTAATTTACCTATACACTTGTACTTAGAGTATTTATACTGCTCTTTGTTTCTGTTTTTATTTTTAAAATTACTATTCACTTCCTACATAAAGATATGAAACTTCACCTCTCTTTATCCTCATTCATCTACACCTCACGGAACACACACACACACACACACACACACACACACACACGCACACGCACACACAGCCTTCTGGTAACCTCTGTTCCAATGCAGTTATATAGTAACTTCAGTTATCAATATTCAGTACACATGCTGATGTGGTCATTCAAATTCTATTCCTAAGGAAGCCATGCAGTATTTCACAATTATTTCCACTTCCAATTCATTCTCCTTTTAATTTCTACACTTAATGTTATCTTTATTTTGGTCATATTTATTATGCCCAAGGAATGCACAGAATGTGGACTGTGTAGGGAAAGCAGCCAGCAGGAGCTGTTCACAGGGAACTGGTGTTGTAGTCTTTCTGTTTTGGCCTTAACTTTA